ATTATGGGGTTGTCACACTAATATAATTAATGAGATGTTTAAAACACGTTGATTTACACATTTTTCCAATGTCAAGTACTTTTTGATCATTTTAAATAGGGACTTAATAGTACAAAATTTTTTTTTCATTAAATTGAGAATTTATCAAATCCTGAATTCATCAAATACTTCGTCAAACTAGAATATAATGAAAATTAAAAAAATGATGCATGGAGATGATTTTTTTGTTTCCCATCAAATTTGATGAAAAGAGAAATCTGAGATAAGAGAGAATTTTTTAAAATCTTTTTTGATTAAAGGATTGGAACAGTTCTTATCAAATCAATTTTTTTACTCAAATTTATAATTAAATTAGATGAAAATATATTAATAAAGGATTTTAAATGCTCTTATAAGTAGAAGTGACATTAAATTAAAAGAACTAGTAGAAAAATGTCACGTGTGTTACTTTAACTTTTCTTCTTTTAAAGTTAAGTTAATTGATATGAACAGATAGTTGGAATTATTTCATCTCTAATCATTTTATCAAATGTTCATTAGCTTAAGGGAGAGATATTTTTCATCAAATTGAGAACTAATCAAATCCTTGATCGAATTTAAATTTGATAAAAATTTTAAATAATTGTATTGGGATGACATTATTCATCAAATTTGATGAAAATGAAAATTTACAATGAAAGGGGAATTTAAAAAAAAATTATAAACATTTGATGAAAAGATTGGAATAGTTCATATCAAATTAAAAAATTTAGTCAAATTTGAAATTAAATTAGATGAAAAAATTGGTAAAAGGTAAAAAATGGTCTTACATAGTTCAAATATTAGGATTTTATTTGAATTTTTTGAAAAATAAATCAGAATTTAATTAGTTACATGGGAAAAACCTGAGAGTATTTATGTAATTTTTCCCTTTAATCAGTTGGAAAATACTAGGTTGGTAATCATGCTGTGTCGTGTCATTTTCGTATCGTGTCATATCGGATTCGTATTCAAAACAATCTAACACTAACACAGTCCATTTAATTAAACGTATTAATTATCTTGATATTAACCTGACCTACTTATAATCTTATTAATCAGTAACACGATACACTTAATACGATTAGCAAAAATTTATATTTCATATTATAATCAAATTGTACCGCCTATTTAATAAATTTTTTTTTTTTTGACATCACATGCATAAGAATAATTTGTTCAAACATTGACACAGAATAATAATATATGTCAATATCTATGAAAATAATTAAAAATATTCATCACTAATCCATTACACATTCAATCTAAACTATTGCTATTTATTAATATTTAAATATTATCACGCCCCACACTTTGTTACTCGGAATCCATTATCAAATTCATTAAACATATTCAATTTCAGAGATAACATGCTGCGGAAACTCTTTACATCATTTGTAAGAATAAATAAAGATTCTCTCATCCGTAAATGCAACATGTACATATCTAAATAATGCCCGCAGGCTTACATCTTTAACAGTAAAAGAAAGGGTTTAACCCTTTTACATCAATGGCATTCTGCCTACAAATAAAAGGCCCCATGGCCAACACATAAAGAAGATCCTCAATCTTGAAACACCTCTTGACGTTCACCTGAAAAAGGATTAGCAACGTAGGATGAACATAAAGTCCAGTAGGAATCTCAACATGATCCTAAACAAATAGCAACTTATAGATAGCTATGATCATGAATGCATCAAGTCATATCAAATACATAATGTGACGGTTTATACCAAAATATACTTATATAGGAACTTTTCTCAAAAACATTCTTTTCATTCAACACTGTAAGCGATCCACCTTTCTTTTCTTTTCATTACCCCTTTTCCCAAACTTTCATGACAATAACAATTCTAGAAAAGAATTTCACCAAGCCCATTACTTTTCTCCCATATTCCGTACTTACAACAGATTTGCCTTTTTCAAAACATGTTCACAAATACCCAATTTCCTTCACACTTTCCAAAATCTCAAAATAGTATTTATGTCTATTCTCAACACATTCATACCTATACATGCATACCTTTAGTAAAAAGGGAAACAACAAATCATCAACAAGTATGTGATCAACAAATGAGGCAACTCGGCCTTTCAAAATTGTAACCATCGTAACCCATAACATACTTAGATACACTGAAACAATGATGATAAAAAGCTCTGCTCTACCTGCCATAAGCACGGTAAGTTAAGGGTACACCTTTTGACAAATGACATGCCAAGTTCTTCAGACACAAGCTGAAAGGTACCGGTACCTCTACCTAGTTCTCCAGACACAAGCTGGAAGGTACTGGTACCTCTGCCAAGTTCTCCAGGCGCTAGCTGGAAGGTACTGGTACCCCTCATTCTAAGCGCGGTATATAACACCAACCATTACAACGCAACAAAGCACAGCCAACAAGTGTAATACATACACATAAACTATTCAATAATGTTCAACCAACACAAGTGTAATGCATACACAACAATTCAACACAACAATGTCATCCTCCACCGATGACCAAGGACAAAACCTTTAGATGCATGCATTCAACATACTTATTAAAATGACTCAACTCTCATGAGATCTTAAACCCAACAATGACACTAGTATGATAGTTAAAGGTACAACCCCCAAATGTGTGTATTCAACACTCATGATATAATAGTTCAACTCTCATATTTATTTTCCGAGACTCACATAGAGTTATCATTTCATTTTCTATTTTCAAGATCAACTTCCATAATTTTCCGGGTCAACATATTCCACCACTTATTCCAACCCACTTTTCCCAATTCACAAAACCAATTCCACGGATAATAAAGTCATAACCCATCTCAGTTCAATACGTTCATTTCAAAATAACCCCAATGCCATAGTTAATCCCTTAGCCATTAACTCATTTACACAACCCATATCAACAATAGTAATTTACAAATATTGTTCAACCATCCTCCCTTTTAATTTACCAAATCAAAATATAATTTAGGGCTTTCTCTTCTTTCAACAATATCTTGCTAGATTACTCCCCAATTAGCCCAAACAACAATCAATGATAACAAACTCATTCTCAAACAACCAACCCTAGGTTCCCTTTTATGATTATCATGCAATATAAATTTACCACATGTCTATCTATGAATGAGGTATTGAAAAAGAGCAAGGAAATCCCTACCTTAAGCTGTGGAGAGAAAACCACTCAAAAATCACCGGCGACGAAACCACGAACCACTCGGACCAAAAGAAAAGCCCTTGACGAGATCTACAATCCATCTCAAATGACCATGGTGAAAAGATCACTCTAGATGAGTAGATCTAAAGATCTTTGAGCAAAAAAAATGATTTTGGAGAGAGAGAGAGAGAGAGTGATACGGTTTAGAGGGAGAAAAGAGAAGAAGAAATAAAGAAAAGGGTTAAGTGGGAACCTATTTATAGTACTAGGTCAAAATAGAAATAAGCCCCAAAGTCAACCCAAAATATCTAGTCAAAATATCTCCAAAAAGTAGGCCCAAACCGGTAGAAAAATCTAGGAAAAAGTCACAGGTGTCGACCCCTGCAACAGTGTTGTCGACACCAAAGAGGAAAAAAAATCTGGGAAAGCTTTGACTGCACTGCAGGTGTCGACCCTACCCCAGACTGGTGTCTACCCTATCTTCAAGCAACCAACACACAGACAGAAGAGGGTCGACCCTCTCCCAGTCTGGTGTCTACCCTATATTCCAGCAACACTTCCAAAACTTTATGAACATGTAAGGATCGACCCTAGGAAGGCTGGTGTCGACCCTAGAATGGAATTTCTAAGTCTCCAAGGAACTTTTGACAAGAATAAGTGCGAACAACCAAACCCAACAAGTTTAAATCAATTCGTACTCCTCCAAAACTAAAGTACAACAACACCAAAGGTTCCCAAAATAGAATAAAGGGTTCAAATACATTTACCAAAAGCTTTAAAAGGCACAAGTGCTACAACCCCCTTTCTTTCTCCCTTTTATTTAATTGCTTATAATGGGTAGCTTAGAACATCATATATCTTTTAGCATTCCCCATGTATAAAGCATTCATTTGTCTTGCATGCAGTAGGCTTGACGCATCATTCTAACTCACATTGTTATTTATTACTTCTTTGAAAACATGCTCAAAATGCATGCTATCAAGTTGATTCACATATCATGACTAGTAGCTCAGCCTATTAAATTGCGTATTGTATGTGTTGCATTAGTCATTTACATAGTTAGAGCATGCATTTTTCTAACACTTTATTGCTTTAGCATACCGCATGCGTGTAATTGTTGCCATGACAAGCATGATTACCATGAAGCTAACTGCTTAAGTGTTATACCTGTTTGAATGCCTGTGGATGAAGGTTAATTGCTTGAATTGGGATAATTTGATGAATGTACATATGAGATCACTTTTTGAAGTGGTATATATTCAAACACTTTTCAAAACAAACATGAAATCAAAAGTGTTTCAATTTTTGCAAATTAGTCTATACTTGTGTGCAACACATAGTAAAGTTAGTCTAAAAAAATTGGAACAAGAGCATATAATGTAAATAAGAATCACATCATGATTAGTAAAGGCTAATCTTTGATCAGGCGGGCGGGGGTGCTCAATTCCAAAAAAAAAAAAAAAAAAAGAATTTTTGATTCATATTTTTATATTTTTAATTAAATTTTAAAATATTTTAATTAATTATTTTTTAAGATTCACTTAATCTTAATATATTTAATTTTTTTATATAAAATCTTTTTAAAAATTTATTAAATACAAAAATGTATTGAATTTTCATATTTTCCTTATATTTTTTGTATTTAATGAATTTTTAATTTTTTTTCATAAATAGTATATTTTTTAAGTATATTTGAATTAGATGTATCTAAAAAATAAAAAAAATTATATAAAATATTAACAAAATTCACAAAAAATAAAATAAAATTGAAGAATATAAAAATTCAATTTTATGAAAAGTAGTTCAATTTTCTGGAAGCAGTGAATATTTCTTTTTTGCGGACGAAAGACGCGAAAAGCTCAAATAAAGGGACGATGGTGAATTTACATCTTGCGAAGATTGACGAAAGTAGCAGTTTTTGCAATGGTAGCGCTCAATTTCAACTATATTTTTCCACAACTGAATCACTCCCTCATCCAGACCCGAAATCGGGAACTTTTTCAAGTTCCAGTTTCAGATTCAAAGATCTGTTTGTGATTCAGATTCAGCCAAATCATATTCCCAATTAAGATTCAGATTCAGAGACTTCTCAGGTACTTCATGTTCTTTGGGCAATCTCTCATGTTTCCGACACTAGTCTAGAATTAATGTTTGCAAATTCCAGATACTACAAATTGAATTAGGAACTTGCTTGCTTGATATTATATTAGTTAGTATGATTGAATGTCCAAATACCTCATTTGCTGGATGTTGTAGTTGGAATGTCTGTAAGGATACAACATTATGAAATGTGTCATAATAATTATATATCCCATCATCAACCAATGTTACACCTATAATCCACACAACTCATGACACAAGTAAAAGACTTCTAAATTAACATTCTCACAAATAGTTATAGCAGATATTGAACTCCAAATCATCGCAAACAATAGAGAGCACGAAAAGAGGCCATGTAGAAGAAGGCTAGAGCCCCCAGTATCCCCCGCACACTAACATTATTACACACTCACAAATAAGGCCTGCATTTAATCTTTATTCTGCAAAAGAGAAACTGACACAACAGAGTCGGATAACAGAACAGCTGACTCAATCCACCTCCTATTAGTTAACCTCACACCCATGAACAGCCCAAAACCTTCCTGCCAATAATGCTTCCGATGCCACAACCACTTCAATCCTAGCAGCAGCCTTCATCAGCACCTGCTATTACAAAAGCAATATATTATTGTATATTTGAAAATGAATCAAATTACCTCCAATGACACAAAGAAAAACAAAAGAAAACAAAAACCTATAAAGACGGAAAATTCAATCTCTGAATCATGGAGGACTCAATGCACTCTCAATCATGGGAGCTGTCTCTCAATGTGCTCAGAATTCTAGACATTGGCAACTCCTGTCATAGGTAAACCGCAAATTCATACCGTCCACATAGAAAGTAATCTTTAGACATTCATGCTTCTAAGGCCATTTTGAAGCAAAACCAATCAAATAGACCATCTTAGATTGCTCAGGTTTAAAAAAGTAAATGGTTTATGTTCTTCAAACATAACCAAGTTCAAAACAAATGATTCATCTTCTTCAAACCATTAGATAAGTTCTTTCAATTCAGGTAGTTCGGTTACACTTGAATGTGAAAATTTAGTTTTGGCAAGCTTTCTTAAAATAAAATATAAAAAAAATACAAAAAACAATTAAAAGAAAATAAGTAACCATTTTTAACCAATAATCGTGATTGCCAATGGAAATTGAAGTTCAAATTATGAATCATGCCAAACAGCTCAAGTCTAATGAGTTTGTGACAAATCTTTGTTATGAGAGGTAGCCAATTCATCACACAAGTCCTGGTGCATGATTACACCCAATGTCTTAGGCGCCATTTGTTTTGCCATGAAATATCACGGTCAATACTATTCAAAATACATATCAAGCCTCATTGCTTTCATACACACACTGAACATCTTTGCTCTCTCTTGCTCTCTACATATATATATATACACACACACTTATACATATATTAAGTTTTAGGGTTATTGTTTTTGTTGCATTCAATCATTATCTTATCTTAATTTCAATCATAATGATATAATTGTTCAACCATAATATTTGTGGTATACAAACTAATGATATAATTGTTCAACCTTAATTGTTCGACCTTATCATTAGTTTTAGGGTATACCACAAATATTATGGTATACCATAATGTTCAGTGTGGTATACAAACTAATGATATAATTGTTCAACCTTATTATAATTGTTCAATGATTAAGTTTGTATACCATAATGATATAATTGTTCAACCTTAATTTATCATAATGATATAATTGTTCAACCATGATATAATTGCATTCAATCAATTGATTTCAATATTTGTATATTGAAATTAAGTTTTAGGGTCATTGTTTTTGTAGCTTTCAATGATGATATACAAGCACAAGCACAATCATTATCTTATCTTATTGTTTTTTACTAAGTGAAATTATGTTTGTATACAAAATTTCTATACATAATGATATGTTACATTTATACCACTTAGTAAAAAACAAAATTTGCAACGTGTCGTTGCCACATCATTTGTGTTCAATTCTATATGAATATCATTTTTCTTTGTTCTTTTTATTTTTAAAGTTTCTCTATAATTGGTTCTCTATTAAGATTTTTTGTTGTAGAAAATATTTTAGTGTTAACCAATCATCATACAATAAAAATAAGCAAAATCATCTTACATGAAAAATATTTTACGGCGAAACAAATGGAGGCTTAATTTCGAAATATCGATCAAATTGAGATTAATTTGTTTAACAACTTTTGTGAATTGGAGAAAATATACAAATTCAAATTTAGATACTGAACAAATTTACGTGAATGTTAAATTCATCAAAGGTTAAAAAGTTAGGATTGGTATAATTTATTATTTGGAGAAAAAAAATATTTTTTGCTTTGTACATTATTTGTTTATAAGCGGGTTACCCCTTGGCTATTTTATTTAATCTAGTATATCACAGCTATAAGCCAACTAGTAATACAGTGAGTAAAAGAACAATCAAATACCTTAAAAAAATATTAAATAGAGATGTCTAGTAGGTGCGCAATTTTATACCAATCCTCCCCCATTCCCTTCTCAAATCACCTTTCTAGTTTAGGACTGCGATGCCAAATATCTATGCATTGGAGTTTGGTAAGGCTTTGAATACTCGCCGGAAGTGATGTAATCTTCAGGCAATAGTTAATGTGCAACGATTGGAGAGATTCAAGGCCTCGTAGACCTTCCTCTGGCAAAGACTCAAGCTTTGGACATCGTAAGATCTCCAATGACTTTAATGTGCCAAGGCTTGCAAGGTCTTCAGGCAACACTTTAAGCTCTTCACAATACTTAATCACTAGTGACTCGATGAGAGTAAGGTTCCTCAGAAACTCTTTTGGAAAACAATCCGTCTCTTTATCATATCCAATAGTTAGGGAAGTGAGACTATTAAGATTTGATATTGAATTTAGTACCATGGTGCACTTGCCGCTCAACCACAATTCTTTAGGAGACGAAAGATGTGGCAAGCTCAATTTAGGACAATTACTAATGCATATCTTTTGAAGACGAGGGAACAATTCTCTTCCCTCCTCCCTTGACAAACCGTTAATATTCGGACAATAGTAAACATCAAGTTCTACCAAAGAAGGGAATCCTCCACCGCCAGGATATTCGTTTTCAATATACTCCAGGACTTCATCCATTCCATGAATTTCAGGATTTGTAGCAAAGGTAGTTGTCCAAATGGTGGAAGTTGTAAGCAGTTGTTGCACTTGTAGAGCTGGATATTAACTATATTTTTAAGATCTGAACCCCTCATCCAGAGCGGGAATCAAGTACCTTTGTACCCTCTTACGACCAACGCCTTTAGGTTTGGATGAGGTTGAAGGGCTTAAAGTGCTAGTTCAGAATTTAACATTTTCCTGTGATTCAGATTCATCATTTTCCTGCAATTTAGATTCAACATTTTCAGATGATTCAATTTCAACTTTTTCTTGTGATTCAGATTCATCAATTTCCTGTGATTTAGATTCATCATTTTCAGATTCAGATTCAGCCAAACTATATTCCCAATTTAGTTCCATCCGACTAAGATTTTGCTTTCCCACTAAATTGGCTTCTTTTGCATCCATCGGATTTCTCACTCTCTCAAGGTGCTCGATACAAAGTTCTCCTCCAAGGTTTTAGCATTTCAATTCAGCTAGGAGACTACAATCAGTGCTCTCACCCACAACAAATACAGTTAATGTCTTCAGGTAAGTTAGTTGCCCAATTTTTGGGGGCATCTCAATTAACCGACACCACTTCAGAAAAACATGTCGGAGACTTCGCAGGTACATCATGTTCTGGGGCAATCTCTCAAGTTTTTGACAGTTGTCTAGAATTAATGTTTGCAAATTCAAGAGGCTACAAATTGAATCAGGAAGTTGCTTGATATGGGCATCGGAAAGGTTCAAATACCTCAGATGTTTTAAGTTTCCAATTGAAGATGGCAACTGTGTCATTGGTCTCTGTTGAATGTATAGATGATGAGAAGAAGAAGAAGAAGAAGAAGAAGAACAACAACAACGAGAGAGAGAGAGAGAGCTGCTGTATATTCCTTAATTCAAAAGCATAGGATTTCCCCTTTACACACAACTATTTGTACTAATAAGAATAATACATAAAGACCAAACTACCGCTAACACTTAACACTTCCCCTCAAGTTGGTGCAAAGATGTCTCTCATGCCCAACTTGCAACAAATAGGGTGAAAGACTTTACTACTGAGACCCTTAGTAAAACCATTTTCCAGTTGATCTTCTGACTTAACAAAAGGCATACATATCAAGCCCTTATTTAACTTCTCCTTAATGAAATGTCTTTCAATCTCAATATGCCTAGTCCGGTCATGTTGAATAGGATTGTGTGCAATACTAATAGCAGCCCTGTTGTCGCAATACAAAATCATGGGATCACTCCAATCAAGCCCTATACCACTCAACAAAGATTGAAGCCACATTAGTTCACACATTCCATGTGCCATAGCCCTGTATTCAGCTTTAGCACTAGATTTGGAAACTACCGCCTGTTTCTTATTACGCCATGTGACTAGATTTCCCCCTACAAAAGCACAGTAACCAGAGGTAGAGCGTCTGTCATCTATAGAGCCTGTCTAATCTGCATCTGTGAACGCTTCCAACCTCAAGTGACCGTGATTAGAGAACAAAATTCCTTTTCCAGGGGCAAATTTAAGGTACCTCAAAATGCGATACACTGCATCCAAATGAGTTGCACGAGGATCATGCATAAACTGACTCACTATCCCAACTGCATAGGCAATATCTGGACGAGTATGAGAGATATATCAGTCTTCCCACAAGTCTTTGGTACCTTTCCTTCTTCATAAGCTCACTAACCCCACTACAAAGACGATGATTAGTCTCTATCGGTGAATCAGCTGGTCTGCAACCTAACATGCCTGTTTCTTCAAGAAAATCTAGAATGTACTTCCTTTGAGAAATGAAGATGCCTTTATCAGATCTGGTTACTTCAATCCCAAGAAAGTATCTCAATGGACCAAGAT